AACTATAAGATCCTAACTAAATTAATATCTCTGTTGGATAATGTCTCCCATCCCATGCATGAAGCTGTTGTGGAAAGCTCCTTCAGTAACAGACTGCTGCACCCTAAATGCACAAGGGTGCGTTATCACAGATCCTTCCTCCCAGCAGCTGTAAGATTTTATAACCACCACTGTACCCAACAACCTCAATTTTTTTACATTCATTTTACATTCAAAGTATTTAATTAGTCAGTTAAATAACATACTGCTTTCATTTTGCACATCTCTGATGTTGCTGCTATTTGCAAATATCCATTACTGTAAAAAATAGCTGTATATTGGTTATTTATTCTCCAGGTGCACAGCTTTATATTGTTAAAACACTTTACAGTACGGTATTTAATTGTTTATTTTTTTAACTCTTCACTATTATGTTATTCTTATACATTTTTCTAAGGTCCACATTTGTGTGACCATTTTTTCTATAACCCTTTTGCCGCTGTAAACACCAGAATTCCCCCATTGTGGGACAATACAGGGATTTTCTATTCTATTCTGTTTTGTTCTATTCTATCCTATTCTATTCTAATTTAAGAATAATTCATAATGAGAACAGGAGGATGCAATGGGATGCACAGTAGCACCGAAATTATTAAAAAATAATAGGCAAATTTTGTATTTAAACATCTGCAGTTTAGATTACTTAAAATTTTCTAAGATATTTTTATGTGTGATACCATCCAACCTCAGCGCTGATTGCTTTTGAAATTGTATTCTCCTCTGTGAATAAATACTTTCTCCTATACCTGGTTATTTGCAGAATGATGACATGGTATGAAACGGTATGTATTAGCCTCTCCTGGTCGCAGCTGCTCTTTTAAAATCACATGTAGAGACATTTTGCAATTTTAAGGGAGACTTGCTGTCATCAGATGGAATGGTAATTGTATTAAAATGCCATGGGCAATTTTCATACACCAAAAGCACCTTAATTCTGTCCTTTCTTAAAATGCTATCTACGGTGTCTATACTTTTCTTCTCCCTGCCTTTCTTTTTTTTTTTTCTGACCTGCTTAACCCTTCCTGTCCTGACGGTTTACCAACAGGTTGAAAACTCAAACTACTCACATTTTCCTATTGGTGAGCATTTAAATCACTATCATTTAGTGCTAGGACCAAAACTCCTCATCGTAAACACGGAAATTGTAAGAAAATATGCCTCAAAATATGCCATTTCCTTTATCGACGGTATGTTTAACAAAGAAGCCAAAGGAAGCACAGAGGTAGTAAGCAGCTACTGAAAAGAAAAAGTAGTTTCTATAAAAGTTGGCTGTACATTCAGGTTGTTTTAACAGAAAGATTACCTCATTGGATGCAGGTTATTTTACTTCATACTTTCAAGGATTTATAGTAAAACTGTTTAAGGTATGAGAAGAAGCGGTCAACCTATGGTTGACTTTTTGTGTCCATTTCAGGGACTATTAATCAAACTGCCAAAGGGAAATAAACATGTTATGTTATTGCTGTTTTCACCCTTTCGATCTTTAAACATCTGTCGGGACATATTTGGTTTGATTTTTTTTTTTTTAACACTAAACTATGGCTTTTTTCTGGCAATTCTTCCATAACACCCACCTCTGTGCTGTGTAGTATTGCTGACCTGTGAACAGATATCCTTATTTTCCATAAGTCTCCCAGAAATACCTTCTGTCTTTGTACTGTCTTTTTTTTTTTTTTACTAGTGCCCTCCTTGCCCAGTTCTGGTTGGCTGTCCTCTCCTGGTCCCTGACTTGTTTGGAGGGCTTCTTAGTATTCTCGGGTGAAGCTTCTTTCTTAATTGTCTTGCACATTTTTTGGCCATTCAGAGAAGGGTGTGTTTTTGCTTACAGAAAATGTAACACAATGTGCTCAGGTGGACTTAATTTTACTTATTATGTTACCTTGTATTGTCTTGGTTGTATCAAAAACATTTTAGGAGCTTTAAAGCAAAGAGGGTGATACATGTAACAGTTTTTTAGAGGTTCGCTCTGTATTTTTGTAATTCTTTTGTTAAACATTCCTCTTTTTGTTTCACTATTTGTTACAAATATGTCTGTCACGGTCTTGGTTCTGATTAAGTTTTCTTTTGAGTTTTCAGTTTCACTTTGATCCATGTTTTGCTTTGTTTTCTAGTTTTATTGGTTTAATTTCTATTTTGTGGTGTTGCATTTGAGTTCTTAGTTATTTCTTGATTGCCATCTGTTGCCCTCTCGTGTTTGTCTCCTTTTCCCTATCTCCTTTCTAGATCCTTTGTACACACCTGCTCCCAATCAGCTCATTAGTCCTGTCTTTGTTCAGTCTCCCATATATACTCTCCCTGTGCAGTTCCTCAGTGCTGATCCTCATTTTTTTCTGGCTCCTCATGCATGTTTTCCCTGATGTCTTCAAGAATCTGTTTTTTTTTTTTCTGTACTTATGTTGCATTCTTGGATTCCTACCTCAGTTGCCTGTGAGTACTACATAAAATCTATAAAACTCACCTCTCCCTCCTCAACTCTGCATTTGGGTCCTCAAAACCTCAACTCAACCCTGACACTGTCACTTAGAATAATAAAATCAACCATAAAAAGCCAGTTAGGTAAATACATTTTCAAGTTGCTGTGAAACTGAATAATTTTTTTTTATGAAACTAAAGCCCTTTTTATTCCCAGTGCTTGTAAAATAATATAACATTGAAAATTCGTAATATTAAAAAGGCTCGACATTTCCTATGACTTTAAATCCTGGACTTCAACATTTATACCATGCAAACAAATATATCTGCCTTCATTATGTTAGATGTAGAAAACAGAGACCTTTAACCACTCTGTTCTTTAAAGATCAGTCCAAACCGATTTTTAGCTGCTTGCAGTATGTTTTCTTCAGGTTAGCCTGCAGCCGTCTTTAAACACACTGCCTTCAGGTGCTAACTTAAATCCCCTTTACCATTCCATACAAACACTGGCCATGTCTGTGCATTTGAAAATTGCCTAAAATATTTATAAATTATAAGTTTGAGATATATATATATATATATATATATATGTATATATATATATGGATAGAATTTAGTCTGCATTTACCGTAGTGAGCTGTTTTTATGATCTAGAAGCTGTGACGGGTCATTTTTCTGTTGGTGCAATGTGATTTCTTTTCATTAACTGCTACCGGTACTTGCTTTGGTGTCCAGCAAAAAGGGAATTGAGGCAGTTTCAATGCTCTTAACGATTATAACTGGATCCTATTTGCAATGCAGACAAAGGTGAGAGGATAAAACTGAAACTCACACCATGGAGTTTGGTGTATAACCCATACACTTTAAAAAACACTGGTGGTCGGTCTAACAGCTTCAACTTTTAAAAAGATTTTATACTGTACGTTAAGTATAGTTAGAAAATTAGCCTTAACTTTTTAAGAATTTGATTCTCCTTATTAAAATTTGCCCATCAAGGTGGTAAAATTAGGAAAATTAGCCAGGAGCAATGAATACCCTTCCTTCCCCCTTGCAAAACATTCAGTTTTTTGTTTAATAAAGATCTGACTTACTTTGGCAACTGTTGTTTCACATGGTCCTCAAGGTATAATTGCTACCATCATTCTGTTTTCAGTTTGCAAAACTGATAAAAAAAAATAATAATAATAAAAAAAAACAAAAAAAAACGGATAATCTCTGGTGAAAAAGTTTAAAAGTTTTGGTGCTGAGTGGGACTTGTATGAAATAAGTATGTATTATAAAACATTTTTTAGATGCCCTGATTGAAAATTAACATTCTCAAAATAAATGGCAAAGAAAGACATGTATGCAGAAGAGACAAGTGAGACTGGAGGTCTGCACTTGAAGTCTGAAGATAAAATCTAACGGGGCAAGGAAAATGACACTGCAGTGACTGTTAAAAACAGATGGAAATATATGAAGTAAAACAGCACTGAAATTGGTTTAAAAAGGTGTCAGTGAAGGCCATAAACAAGGAAGAATGAATAGAAATTGAGGTAGAAAAGAATATTCAAACAGTGGACATGATAGGAAAGTTTACAAAACTGGTGATGAAATTACCAAAGGATGGAGAAATGGTTTGAGGCAGGACATGATGAAGCAAAGACATCAGGAGGGGTAAAAACAAAGAATTTTTTTTGAGGGCAAGTGAAGCAAAAGACGAAGGACCAGCAGCCTACAGGCAAGATTTGAGCCATTTTAATTTGTCAGTTTGGGTACTGGTGATGAAACTGATGGATGACAAGTGAGGAGTGTTATAGAAATGGTTAAGGCAAACAAAAACAACACTTTATGGACTGAGTCAGTCCGTTGTCACAGATTTCAGGAAAAATGTCTAACAGTTGTATAAAACTGCATCACAAATTTAGTTCTTTACGAACCAAAATATGCACTAGCAATAAATGCCATTCATTTTGATTTATTTTCAAACTTAAGATTAGATTTTTAAACAGCAATTGGATGCTCAGGCAGATGCAACAAGGATTTATTGAATATCAAGGTTCAGATGTACAAATGTCTTCAGAAAGTAAGAGTTTGTTTCATAAAATGTATAATGCATGTAATAGATAGTGACAGTGTCACAATGACTGTATATGGAGACTGGGGTGGATGATACTGTAGGTTTCCAAGGAGAAAGGACGGGAAAAATGGAAGTACAACTTGCATTTGCTTAGCAAGAGTGTTTTAGATCCTATAAAAAGACAAAATGAAGCCGTTGAGAACAATAGGTGTGTAATAAAAAAAAAAAAAAAAAACTCTCCAAGTGATGGATAAAAATGTGAAATGACTGTTTTGGTTGAGTATTGATTCTTAATCTATTAATCCATGAAATCAAAGAATGCCCACTGTCCTCCCCACCAAATCCTTTCTACACTATTCTCTTAATCATGTTTTACCTTAACTATGTCACAGATGGAGGTTGTCCTCAAAGCCCAACACTGTGTGGGATGCTTGACCCCCTGTGCTCTTCACAGATAAAAACAGGTTAAAACTGTGATCATGTGACGGACATGACCGAGTTTGGAGACAGCGTCGAGAATGATCTGCTGCCTGCAACATCTTTCAGAATGACTGGTTTGTGCAGCGGGCCTGAAATGGTGTGGGGTGGCATTTCTTTGGAGGGTCACACAGCCCTCCATGTGATACCAGAGGTAGCATGACTGCAATTAGGTACTGAAGATACATGTTTAAGCTAAAAGAAGTAAAGCGCTAAGTTAAAGCTGCAGCAAAACTTATTGTTTATATGTATCAGGGCAGATTTACAGAACAGTGTACAAAACAGCAGGTGCAGATGAGAAGACTAAGAATGACCTTGCTCGCATACACACAAAGGAAAAGCTGATTAACAAGGGAGCAGAAAAACAGGAAAGAACTCCATACATGGGGATAGGAATGTAGGGAGTACGATCACTCTGTAACTTCTTGTGGGACTGTCTGATTCTCATAAAAAGAGCCTGTGTTGCACAGGGGGTCAGAGTTGCTGTTCACAGATACGTCCTGCCTTCCGCTGCTGCTGCTGCTCTCCCTTTTGCAAAAGGCGAATCGAAGCTTCATTGTCCAGCATTCTTTTTCACTCCATCTAAGTGACCTGCACTCGAATCAACGGACCCTGGGAAGTCATGATGGTTTTCAACAGTACTGAGATGAAATTGCCAGACCGCTTGTGAGACCATGTGCCTTTGCATTTGGCCCTGGGTTTCTCCTAATGCTCATCTGGGACATCATGTCTCAATCCATCCACCACATTGCACCGGAGACTGTCCAGGAGTTGACAGGTGCTTTAGTCCGGGTTTGGGAGGAGATCCCTCAGGAGACCTTCCACCACATCATTGGAAACATGCACAGGTGTTTTAGGGAGGTCATACAGGCACGTGGAGGCCACACACAATACTGAGCTGCCTTTTGACCTGTTATATGGACATATCAAAGTTGGATCAATTGTTGGTGTTTTTCTACTTTAAATTTGTGACTCCAAATCCAGGCCTCCTATGGTTAATAAATGTGATTTTCATTGTTGATTTTTGTGATTTTGTTGTCAGCACATTCCACTTTGTACAGAACAAAATATTCAATGAGACGATGTCATTCATTCAGCTCTAGGATGTGTTTTTTTGTGTTTATTTATTTTGAACAGTGTCGTTCAAACTTCTGTTTAGTATTTTGGGGTCCCCCTGACTTAAAGATTTAAAAACAGGCCATTTACCATTTTATCTAGTCACCAAAATATAAGTAAGACTTTTAAAATAGTATCAACAACATTTTGTGTAGGACATTCTGTTTATCCAAAGAGAATAGATGGAGGAAAAATATCCTTGCAGTGCTTGGATTGTATAATGCACATAAATTTACTGTAAAAGACCCAAATGGTAACATCACTGCAAAACACTTTTTAAATTCTGATCATTTCATAAGACATGCCAGTATCTACCTACTTTTTAAAATACTTGATGGTACGGCTTCCCCCAGAGTCACAAGGGTGACCTAGAGGGGCGTGCAGCCTTGTACAATGTAGTACCTCTTTTGCAAAGCATGATTTCTCTTCAGTTTCTATGAGTCAGTGGACGTGTTATCAACCACATGTACAAACTATGGAATATTTGCACAGTAAATAAAGAAACGGCTGCTATAAATACAAATTTGCACTCACAAAAGATGTATGAGCAAGCAAAGCAAGTGTGGGTGTGTCTGAAAGTAAATTAGTGCAAGTGAGATTTGGAGGGATATTTGTGTCTTTGTGAGTGTGTTATTGTATATAGTCTTAGTATAGGGCATGTTTGAGGTTGATTGTATCTTAGTTGTAGATAGAAAATGTACATTATTTATTGGATTACTGTTTACATTGTTAAATTTAGCTTTTGTATTAACATCAAACTTTCCAGGGACTGCAGGTGGAAATGAGAAATCTGGCTCTAACATGGAACTTGCATGTTAACTTTTTACATAAAATTAATGGAATGTAAAAAAATAAATGAATAAAAAAACTTGTATACCAGTACGCAGTATTTATAGTTGCATTAATTGAATAGAGTGCTTAAAAATCATCAAACTTTGGCTCCATTAAAAACCAGAAAACAAAACAAAACACAGCTGTCTTAGAGACACACATTTTGAAATGTAAATGAATGTTGTCACTATAGTTGGTATAAATCCACAAAATCTTTAAATTACAGTATTGCTAATCAATTCAAAAAAGGACCAGGCCAACTCCTTAACATACTTACCTGTCACTATTTCTCTTTAAACATGAATTATCCTTCATATGCAAATGTTATAGCCACAATTTAAGCTTTTACTTTTATTTTTTTCCTTTTAGTCTGTGATTAAATTTTTTATTTTCCTTTTATTTACACATGTTTGAAATGCCAAATCATCAGCTTTTAACAGCCTCTTTTTGCCATATTAAAAAGGGAAACAAAAGGTTTTGTATATTGTTCCATTCCAACTGCACTTTTATCCTTCAGTTGGAGTTTCCATCAGATCTCTAATTTTAATAAATGTTTTCACTGTCAACCACATAATATAATTAATAGCAAAAAAGTAAATTTTTGAAGGTGTGTAGTATAATTTTTAAGTGAACTTTTCAGCTATATGTATGTGTTCATATCAATTACATTGATGTTCAGTGTGTTATGAAACCTGCTTATTATACTGAACTAGTCTTTTGATTTTACATATTTAAAACAAAACACCAAGTTTCAAATATAAAACTATTTTTGAATATCTATCAATGCTAATGCAGGCCAAATTGAATCAGAGCAAGCTAAGTTGAGTGATTTCTTTTCATTGCTTAATCATGAGCAAGAAAAGGCACTTATATTGCAACAGCACTTCTAAGTGTAGGTTAAACTAATAAAATGTGCATCATGTATTACCTTGGATCCAAGATTTCTCCAAAGATCTAGGCTTTTCCTGTGTCCAAATTGGGATGTTCATGCATGTGCCCTCCTAATAATAAAAAAAGGAAAGCTACCCTAACACTTTTGTGCCTTAGCAGTATTAGCAGGAACTTCTCCTTCCTAAAATCTATTATCACATTCTGGAATTAGGACTTCTTAATTGTTGTTTACTGTTTTCTGGTCATGAAGTTCAGCCCTCATCTCTTAATGTATCCGACTATCTGTAAGGAATATCTATTAATATCATTATATCTATTATTACTTTCAGTCTGTATTTGAAAATGGTATTTTCTACAAAGGAGCACATGCAAATCCTGCTGTCCTGACTCCTATCCTGTAGCTTATTTATTTCTTTTGTACTATTGTTATTTACAGTGCATTAGTTGGGTAAACTACCCTTTGGAAATTGATATTCAAGAAATGCTGAGTTTAATTGATGGAGGGGATTTATCAGGCTCTGTGTTTCCCTCTTTTTGTTTGCTATATTGCCATTGGGATTACAGGTGTAACATGTTGTGTGGTAGAAGGGAAAAATGAGTCGTGCAAAAAAAGAAAAGGGGAAACAGATGGGAAAGAATCAGTTCAGAAACTGACACTGGTGTGTGTTAATTCGATTACTTCTTGTGCCCAATTAAAATATACTAATATTTAGTCTGCTGAGAAGTACAGCATCTCCATGTGCACATAATTCTTCTTCAGGCCTCTGCTAGCAGTAGTTACTAAATGAAAGCAGTGTGGCTTGGAAAGGATAAGCCTGTAGTTGTGCTTAGGTGGAAAGCCCAGTTTTCTGTAATGATGGCGTTCAGCTTTTAGGCATCGCTGAGTCTGATGTGTCTCATTGTTCTCTTCAAACACTTCATAGATTCTCTATGGGGCTCAGGTCATGATAGTTTCCTGCCAAGTTGAACACAGTAATGCCGTGGTTATTAAAGCAGGTATATGTGCTTTTGGCAGAGTGGATAGATGCCAGCTCCCATTTAAAAATTAGATGAGCATCTCCATAAAACCTGTCACCAGATGGAATCATAAAGTGCCTCTAGCATCTTGAATGTTGTACCTCTGTATTCTCCCTCAATACCCTGGGAACCCGGTTTTCAAATTAAATGTAAAATGTATTTTCATCTAAAAGGGGACTTGAAATCACTAAGCAACAGTTCAGTGCTTTTTCTCCTTAGCATAAGTGTTCTGTTGTGGCTCTTGTAGCGCTGACTCCAGCGGTAGTCCATGCCTCATGAATCTCCCCCTAACACCTAAATAGCCTTTGCATCAAAATCCTCTCAAGACTGCCATTATCCTGATTGTTTGTGCATATTTATCTAGCACACTCTTTTCCTACCACTAAACTTTGCAAGAGAATGCTTAAACATACCTAAACTTCCAGCTTCTTTAGCAATTACCGTATGCAGAATAGCCAGCTTCTGGAGGGTGTGAACTCTTAATTGACAACTTTCAATTTGACAACCTCCACCAATTCCTAGAACTGTGAAGAATATAAATTTAATGCATATAAAGAAAATATTTTTTTATATACATAATTTACTTTGTGCTGAGATTTACTGAAAGATATCTCATCGTTTTAACTTTTTTTTGCCAAACCACAAGACCCACCCGGAATGTTTTTACACTGAATTAATGTATTGTTATAGTCAACAAAAGAATTTAGTTGACTATGATATGGTATACTGCAAAACACTGAAAATGATAAAAATTTGATATGGAGAAGAAGTCTAACATTTTTTTTACACAATAAGAAATAAAGCACATAACTATGGGCTCATTACAGTCAACTAAAGAGTTACTAATTAACTCAACATTCAAGCTTTTAGACAGGGATATGAAATTGGAGCACCTGGGGAAAACCACCACACCTCTAAGCCGAACACAAAGCAAATTATGACATTTAGCCAACTCTAAATGTGCTATGCTCTTTATAGCACTAACTACAATAACTCCTGAAGTATTTTCTAAAGTAAATTTCAAAATGAAGCTTTTTGTAAACACTGTGCATAATTTTCCAGAGGTTTAAAATGGAAGGCTGATTTCAGCTGAGAGTCAATGTTTTATCTGCCTATAGGTCCATAGTTATTTGCTGTTCCGTAAGTCAGATGTGTCTGAGGTACAAAGCTGAAACCTTATTGGGTGTAGAAAGATCTTTTGTGGTATTTTAAAATGCTCCAAAGATTAAATGCTGGTGTATACTGTTTTATCTAAAGCCATGCTTCCTGTGGGCTTTGCCAAAAAGCAAATTTATTTTTGTTTAAATATCACAAACATGTTCCTTAAGTCTCAGCGGGGTTTAGTCTTCAAGTACTCAACCTGCACATAAATTGCTTCCTGTTCTAGTGTCAGAAAATACTTGCTTGCAATCAGGAGCTCAAAGCTACTTCCTAGAAACATATAAACACAACAACACACACACACACACACACACACACACACACACACACACACACACACAAACAGACAGACAGACCTTTAAAAGAAACAAGCCACCGGATTGGTCAAATGTCTAACTGCACTTTTATGGATAAAATGGCTTCACCTGTTGTTGAACCAAGCTGACATGCCCCTTTATCTAACAGCTTTCCTCATAATTCCATCAATACTCAGGGTCACTGTGGCCTCACGCCTACACATACGCAGTTTGGCAGCAGACAAAAGTGCCACTTTCTGGACTGAAGCAATTCTTACACATATTGCACTCTTTAAGTGAACAAGATATCATACAAAGGACACTCTAAGGCTGAATAAAAACTTCATTAATAACTTGAATCTAAGGAAGAATACTTAAAATACAAGTTATAACAGAGTTTCTGATCTGAAAAGGAAATAATCCTCATAAGAGTCATTTTTATTTTCAGTTTGAACCTGTCCAGGAGTCAATTTCACCTCGTGAAAAAAACTAACAAACAGAATTATCTGAAGTGCTGATTTACTACAACTGAACTTGTAGCTCATTCCATTTTTTGTATACTGTAGTTGTGTGTTATTAGTTCAGAAAATATAAAATATCCTACAATCATTGCAAGAGAACCCTGAGGCACCTACTGTGTAAATAAAGTTAGATAAGTAATACCGGTACTTTATCTCATTATCTTCCCTGCACCTTAAAATTCAAATCTTGTTAAGTAATACATTGGGTATTCATTTTATAAGCTTCTCACTGAAGTAAACCTTTCTTTCCTCAATAAATTAAAAAATGATTGAGAAGTTTTATTTTGTTAACTACTACCTTAAATAAGTAAAAACCCATATTTTGTGCCTCTGTTAATTGATAGTTAAGTTATATTGTGGGGGGGGCAGTGCACTTTTAATCTAACCATTGAGTCCTATTGCCTTAAATACACTAATTTATTGAAAATGACTGTATAAAATACTCTTCATGCGATTACCTGTAACATATATACTGGAGAAAATCTCAAAGACATTGAGTAATTCAAAAGTAATCATGCTTTTAAAATTAGAAGTGCAACTCTGTTTTATGGCTAGCAACATTTGGAGCCTCTCTTTCCTCAAGATAAAACAATATTTTCTACATGATTGTATTTTTAGAAGAGGCTGAAAGTATCAAGCATTGTACACGATTATGTCTGACTTTTTTAGCAGCAAATGATTTAAGAACTCTTACAGGCCCTCAAAAAATAAGGAAGAATTTCAACTGTAACTCATTTTTGGGCTGGTCCCCTCCTACTTTGCATATCCAAACACAGCTATTTGCCTAGAAGTACTGATATTTTTACAGCCATCTAAAACATGGACTGTGGGTAGCTACTCATTAACCAGGTACACAGATGGATGGATATACTTATAGATACATTCAGTGACTAAGTGCAAAACAAAAATGTTCCTATAAGAATAATCTTTATAATTTGCTAAATATTTACAAGAGATTAACTTAAATTCAATTGTTATTCTCTTGTTGATTCCATCCATAGCTGAAGCATGGGCCTAATATACAAGTTCAGATGATTGCTTTTAAATAACAAGTTTAGCTTCCATTACGTAACTCGGCCAGAGCTATTACCTTCTTTTTATAGTGGTTTATTTAACTGAATTTTCCTTTTTTTTTTTTTTTTTTTTTTTTTTTTTTTTGCAAGTGATTGAAAGTAGACATTTTGGTTTTGAATGTTTTTTTTTTTTTTTAAAGATAATCTAATGCCCAAACTGAAATGATTTTGTAATAAACTGTAAGTTATTACCATAAGGGTTTTTTCCCACCTGACAATAGTTTTTGCATTCTAAAATAGTGTTATCAGAGTATATGTAAGGGTGTTGATTTAGGCAAGTCTTCTACAGAAATCCAGTTCTGCTTTTTATAATTATCCATGAGCTTTTATCAGGTATTTGCAAATGCTATCGATGCAAATACGGATTCCAGGAAATGCAGTTTAGGTTGGCCAAAAGAAGAAATAAAAAATTGAGATGTTAAGATGGTGTAGTTGCATTGTTGGCTCAACATTTGTTTGTATAATATCTACTTCAAAGTGTGCAGACAGTAAATTTAACCAATTTTGAATGAAGACACACTTTTGTAAATAGGGGCCATATGACTTTACTATAAGCAAATTTATTACAAAAAAAGGAGGGTTGTAAAGTAAACCTCACTGCCTTTTCATTGTTAGAATAAAGTGCTAAATAGATTAACCATTATTTCTATCAAAACAAGTTTTGGTTTTTCTAAATGAAAATATGAAATGTGATGAGAGTGACACCAAGAATCAATATTCCTGAAACCGTTGTCCAAGACTTTACTCTTCATATAAACCACTCTTGTAAAGCGGTTTTAAAAGAATAAATAAATAAGGAATAACTCCTTAGAATATGACAATTGTTCAAATTTTGCATTTATCCATCATACAAATTTTATGATGGTAGCACAACATTTTCAAAAATAGCCAAAAAGATTTGGAAAAAGGTTGGGAGTAGAATGTAGTTTTGTGACATTTGATTTTTAATCAACAAGTTAACTTTCCAGATTCCATCTAGCATTATCAGTAGACTTCGTGAAAGGTTGATTTCTGATTGCGAGGTTTATCGACAGCCCTGACCTTTAAATACAGAATACAGTTAATATAAAATAACATCTTTATTTTGCATCCTGGCATAACAGACACAATCTTTATTGATTACTTGGTGAACAAAATGCACAGAAACACACAGTTATTGGTTTAATGATGGAACTGGATTTAGTCCCTGAGGGAAAAAAGGAACTAACCCACTGAGACCTGAACTAAGTTGTTATATGTCAAAGTTCAGATTTGAAAATGGTAAACTGGCCACATCATAAGGAGCATTCAGCTTTCAGTTCCCTTTTATCTCCTTCATAAACATACAAATCATACAAATGTTCCCTTCAGAATGTTGCCAGTTGTATTCTAGAAGTATAGTTAGTCTGCTGAATTCTTAGAATCTTAGGCATATGCACTTTACATGTTATATTAAAAAGAACCCTTGGGCTTTTTCAAGTTGAAGTTAAAGTTTGAAAAAAGAAAAAAAAAAGCTTTTTATACTGGTATGTCTGTACTTTAAAAACCTTCCATAACCTTCCATAACTTCAGGACAAAGCCAAACTTAAACCGTCTAGTTACTGCTGTTGATTTTTATATTTTTGTTGTGTTTTCCACTATATCTTTCCAATGTGTTTTATTAACTATGAGACATTCGTCTAGTGAGATACGGCTGTTAAATCCTAATTTGACTATGGCTCTGTCGTACTTTACCATCTTGTAGCTGATTAATCTCATGACGTTGTCATTTTGAATAAGTAAACTGAGTTTACGGTGCTCTATGAAGAATATAACTTCTTTTCCTTGCGTGGAAGGACCATTCTGCACCTGATGCATCAGCAAGTAAGAACTAAATTTATTTGGATTCACAACAAGATTTATGCAAGTTTCTAATCACTGAATCTGTTGTTTATGTGTTATGTGGATAGAAATGGACAATTAACTGAAGAATTAAGCTTTGTTTATTAATAAGTTTATTTCCTTTGTCTTTAGATTTGTTTTGATCACTCTAAAAATGTACACCTTTGTAACGGCTTTCTTCCTTGTGCTGTTTTCAGGTAAATATATTTTCTTTGAGATCCTCCAAATGTCTTAACGTAAAAATTTGAACCTAGTTTGCACAGTTAGTTTTTGTTGCATTTTACCAGCATTATTTTTATTTTGTTCCTTTAAACTTTATTTTGCAAAATGTTCATAAACAAGGGGGTTGATACTTTTTTTTTTATGATGTACAATTAAATGCAGTGCATAACATGTAGTTGATTACTTTCTATTTAATATGTCCCTTTAAATGTTTGGAGAAATTATGCTATTTTATATTCTTTTTTACAGGACTTCTACAGGTTTCATTAGCTGCAAACCGTCTGCGATGGTTCTTAAATGACACGGAAACAAGTTGGGAGGAAGCAAGGAACATATGCTTGGGCAAAGGGGGGTCATTATTGAGCCTATATGATGAAGAAGATGCAGATGTGATACAAAGCTTCACTAAGCCTACCGGAATTTGGCTTGGATTGAGAAGGAATGATAGCTATGTCCCCACATGGTCAAATGGAGAAAAAGTCATATTTAATGAGTCAACAACAGACTTAAAGGGAGAAGAGCAACTCTGCGAAGCTATTGAAAATGAGACATGGAAGAGTTTTAATTGTTCGGAAGAAAAGGCCTTTATGTGCCAACATGGTAAGTTTCAATTGGTGATAATTCCCTTAAAAAAAAAAAAAAAAAAAAAAAAAAAAAAAAAAAAAAAAAAAAAAAAAAAACTGGCTGCATCACAGTCGTTTAAAAAGTGTAGAAATTACACATAATACTAGTATGATTCTTTGAATTACTCTAATATCTCATTGTTGTGTAAATGCATTTCTAAATTTTGAAGTGTAAATGTATTATTTATCTTTTTAAATATGTTCCTTTTTTTCCCCAGATAACAATTACACCCTTGTAGAACTAGAACATGGGGAAAACTGGTGCCGTGCATTGCAGTACTGCAGAAATCGTTTCACTGATTTAGCAAGTATCAGTGATGAACGGGAAAATGAAGACCTGAAAAATAAGAGTCTGGGAAAAAGCTTTTGGATCGGACTTCAGCAAGATCAGTGGAAACAGGCAGACAAAAGTTGTTCAACTTATAGAGAGAAGATTCAAATTACACAGGATGAGGAATGTCTTGTACTATATGGAACCAAAAATTTGATATGGATGACAATGAATTGTGACAGTTCAAAGGGAATCATTTGCTATACAGGTTTGTGGTGAATATTTACTAAAAAATTAGGCAGACTGCAGCATTTGGTAATATAATCCTAAAAGTTGTATTTTGTTCAGTCGTTTGAGCCTTCATTCATTTGGTAAATGGTAATATTTCAAGAAGACATCATAAAGAGAAAAAATAAGAAACTATTCAACTGTTTCTGTTATGGGAGTTTTGACAGAGACAAATTTAGCTTTAAGATAAACTCAGATATGATAAACTGAAAATTACTAAAAAAAAAATCTGTTTTTTAAAGCAAACTAAATTTAATCCATGAATCACTTAAACATAATTTTACATTTAGTAAAGGTTATACCGTTTACATTTTTTTTTTCATTAAATCTCGCCTCTGTTTATTTTCAGGCAATGTTAGAATCAAAGTGATCGAGGAACCCAAAACATGGGAGGAAGCCCTTGATTACTGTAAAGCAAGGCATTCACGCCTGTTATGGATTGAAGATCAGGAGGATCAAACTGCTGTTGAGCAGTGGTTAAAGTATGCTCCTACTGGTTCCATAGAGCGTTTGTGGATCGGTCTTAGGCAGAGTTCAATCTTTGGATTCTGGATTTGGAGTGACCGAATAGTGAGCTATTCCAACTGGGAAAATGGTCTGCAGCCAGTGATGCCTTCATCCAAACATTGTGGTGTAATTAATGCTGATACTTTCGAATGGAGTGATGAAGATTGTGGAAAGACGCTACCTTTCCTTTGTGAGGAGGATATTATATACATGTAACTCTAGTAATGGCTTTAAAGAGTAAGTGTTTATCATTAGAGATCATTGATTTTAGAGCTTTTTAAATTTCTGTATTGCATTGTGTAATAGAACAATGAAAAATATGTTAAGCAATATTTGACCTGAATCATTAGTTGGTTAAATGGTTTTTAATTTTCTCTTGTGTAGACATCAATCATAGATGCTTTCAGCTCTTTCTGCTAACAGATATTTCTTGAGAGATTTTATTTGCATTGTCACAAAAAGCTGCATTGACTTGATGAGAAATAAAAATAAAATGTCTTCTTTTAAATTTTTTTTGTAACTGATCTATGTCTCAGGATTTTATGTCAAAACTATCACACACAAACAAGGGTAAAGATATTTAACTTCCTGTGTAATGTGAACTTTTGAGTATATTTCAAGGTGTTGCACACACATTTCTATCACCCTGTGTTAATTATAGTGATGTAAAGCTATTTAAAAAATTCCACTACTGAGGACAAGGGACTACTGTGGCCCACAATCCTCAAATACTTCAATTAAAACCTCATGATTTTGTATGTATCTACAGTTTTAGGCCATCTCAGTTACAGATGATTTACCATGAGCCTAAATTATTAAACCATTATTCGCATAGATGCAAATATTTTGTTAGAAAAAAAAACTGCTACTTTCTGCTCAGCCCGGAAGCACATCAGTGTTGTAAACCACACCAATTCAGGGGAGACTGAAATGTTAAGGGTCATAAAGTCATTTGATTATATTACTTATATGATTATGATGATCAGAGACAGTAAGCAAGTAGCTCCATTATAGGTACATTAGTAATGTTACTTATTCTATAAATTAATATCCTGTCTTCATGGGAACATCAATAAACTTTCCAGTGATTTAGTAGAAATGCATCTTACTATTAATCACTTACATAAACAATATGAGTGCAGCATCAGAAATAACACCACCCCACATGTCTATACATATTTTGGCGCCCATCATTTTTTCTATTTAAAAAATGTCAAGGTTCTTTAAGTAAAACGTTTTGTACATGAAGGAATTTTAGTAATTCAACTTTTACTGGACAGTGAAAGAGTGGCACCTTTATCATTATATGGGAGATCTCCACCAGCTTTACATATCCAGTCACTGAGGTTTTGCACACAGGTAAACCATCTAAACAAAAAAACATTCATATCTGCATAAATATTTTGCAATTCTGATGGCATAGATATGTAGGCTTAGTTTTAATATATTTAATAATTTTTGTTATTTAGTTCATTAATATTGAACATCTTATACTTTTTTATAATTGAACTCCAAGCTGTAATAAAAGTCCATATACGCTAATAGGAAAGTCATCCAGATCCACATTACTTTTTGCCTCATCAAAAGTTACTCCATAGTTACTTTTACCTATTTACTATATCCAATTACTAATGTAACTATATTGAATTTTAGAAATATTAGGATTATTAAATAATACAAGTTACAGTACATTCAAATAATTAATAAATTAGGTTCGACTGCTAGAGGAAGTGGCAAATTGTAAAACACAAGAGACAATCAGATGGTGCAAAATTGGTGAATTGTATTAATATTTACAATATATGCAGGTTATCAACAGTTGATGAAGTCCAGAATGGTTCCTTAATCCAAGGAACTTAACAGTTCATGCTGGTGAAGAAAGGGAGGGGGGGGATAATAATCCAATTCTTTCTGAAGCAGGTCAGTCAAGAGTGAAGATTCTATGGCTGGATGTCTTCAACCAATTAGAGTTATCTTTAATAGAAGGTGTAGTATTTCAGGATCTGCTTATTGGTTAGCTTGCCAGTCTGGCCAGCATCATACCAGACAATCCATGATTTATCCCCAGCACCAAATTCCTTTGATTGGGAATCTGTAACACACTTGGCCTGTGTAAACAGGCATAAATAATCAGTTAACATGTACATGTAGTTTCTTACAATTAAATAAGTTTACATAATTATGCAACTTATGTAAATTCAATTCTTTTACACAACGGTAGTGTTTTATACCTGTAAACAATTCAGCCTGAATGTGCTATATTTAGACCGGAGTGTAATCAACTCAACAAGCCGGGAAGGCTAGCCTTAGCATGCTAGCTCCCGAATATAACACGGTCGAATGCTCACACGTCTGCAAGTTAATAGATTCATACGACTGAAGGATGCACAATAGACATTTCATAACCGCTTTGGAAACAGACCAGAAGCCTACCTGCATACCAGAGTCCGACAGCGTCTCCTACCTAAGGTGCCGATAAGCAGCCATATATGCGGCAGCTTTTAATTTGCGACGCTGACGTGCACACGTCACATGACTTCAAAACCATGCGAGAACAATGTTTTTCTCGCATGGTTTGTATAGGATAAATTAAGAAAAGGAGGATTTTTTATTAAATCTTTAAATAAAATAAATAAAACTAAGTTTAACAAAATGGAAAATAAGAATAAAATGACTCTAATATGAAAAATGTATCCTGGTTACACTGAGTTACAGTAATAACTCAGTATTTACACAGTAATAATCCATCAATGATAGTAATAGTTAAATTTTTAGGAAGAAACTAGTGACTATAAGTAGTAATATTTTTAAGTAATGCTCCCAACACTACTCTATGCAAATGCAGGTAAGAATAAAATCTGACCTCTGTATTTAAGCCATTCCTTAAGCAGTGGGCAGCGCAGGCCGTGGTGCAATCAGGGACTCAAAGTGCCAGGTTGTTGGGTTTGAAGCTGGTATTTGCAGCCTTCTAAGGCTACCACTAACCGATTACCTAGATTATCAGATTATTAGAATGGCACCACCTGTGTTTTATTGATATAAATAGTGCACTGCTGCAAACTAGAAAATGGAAATGTCTTGAGAGCTATACAAAACAAAACTTTGTATTGTATGCACTCTTAGTATAGAAAATCACCAAGTTCGTCTAAGTCTAAATAAATATATAATAGCGTTTTGGAAAAACTACCATGTGGCTAAATGTTCATTTGTGATTATGCTCTTTCTACATTTCACATTGAAGTCAAACTGTATTTTCATTAATCTTCTATATTTGTCTTTCTCTCATTTTAATTATTAAATCCAGTTATGCACAGTTAAAATACCAGCTTGAGCAGCCTTTTTAACAATTCTTTCCAAGTATAGGACCTGATCTTCATACATCCTTTATTCAATTTATCCTCTGTATCTCTTAACTAACGGTTCTCAAAATAACTGAAACCATTCAATATGAATTATAACAGGTTAAAAAATCAAGAAAATTGTATTTACATTTTTTTTTTTTAAATATTAGCATCACTGTTATTAAAACAAGCATGTTTCTATGGCATTGGTCTTAAACATAACCCAGATACTCTTCACCTACAGTATGGAGGCATTATATAGTAAGGTGCATCAGGTTATTCAGTATATATAAATACATACATACATATATATATATATATATATATATATATATATATATATATAAAATTAATTTTTTTGTCTTTAAATTATTTCTGGCTAAAGCCTTAAATCAAAAGCATCAGCATGTCCTTCGCCACTGTCATGACAATAGGTGACCTTAACTCCTTACCACAACCTTCTCTTAGGTTCAAAGTTAAATATTAAGACAGACAGTTAAACGTCTTTGTTCAAGCAAATCTTAAGTCTGTACTACCTAACCGGTAATTCCTAATTCCTAATTTAGTTCTCTAGTTGTGAAGTTGTTGGTTACTTCTTATCAGGCTAATAGGAGATAATCTGACCACTTTCTCAATCTAACTCAATTAGCTCACAGATATGGATGGGTATAGAGGGCTAAAGATGGGCAAGGCACATTTGAAGAACATACACTAAAGGTCTCGTGTAGTGTTAGGTTTGAGAAAATCTATTAAGAAATAAATCCAATAAAGATTTGAAACATTTTTACTGGTTTTTGCTTTTTATGTTTTTGATTGTTAGTGTTATTTGCATCCCACTGACATCCTTGAATAGAAAAGAATTCAACTTTATTGTCATTACACTGTCACAAGTACAAAGCAATGAAATTAACTCTCTGCATTTAGCCCATCCCCTTGGGAAGCAGTGGGCTGCCATTGTGCGGCGCCAGGGGAGCAGTGTGGGGTTAAAGGTCTTGCTAAGGGACCCAGACGGTCAGTCTGTGGGAGTGGGGCTTGAACTCAAAACCTCCGGATTCCAAGTGCAATGCCCTTACCACTAGGTCGCCACTCCTATGACCTGTGGGAGCAGTGCACTTGTGCTCTGAGAAGGTTGCAAATACCCGGTTCGATCCCCACAGCCTGCACCTCGGGTCCCTCAGCAAGGCCCTTAACTGCTCCCCAGGCACTACACAGTGGCAGCCTACTGCTCCCCAAGGGGATGGGTTAAATGCAGAATTTCTCCAGTGTGAGATTAATAAAAAATGTATTATTATTATTGTCAGGACTCAGCCGACAGGGCCGTGCAGTTTCTGCCGGTTCTGCTTCTTTCTGCTTTCTCTGCAGGTGTTTGCAGTTGACAGGTGGGCAGGGCGCGCGCACCTGCGGCTGGTTGAGCTGTGTCTGATCGCACTATAAGAGCAGCATCCAGACAGCAGGAGGACGCCAGAGAGTTAACCGTAGTGGTACGCTTAAGGCCACAGTCTCTCAACTGAGTACTGACTTCCCTCGTTAATCCAAACCTCTGTGTTCCTCAGGTTACCTCACGATCGCCTTCCAGAGGGTCCCACTCGTGCTGACTCCAGGTTCTGAGTTCCCACTGGGTCCTCCCTTTCTCCCGGCTCCAAGCAAGGTGCTTCGACCCACTCTGGTTTCTCCTGCTGCCCAGGATCATTGGAAAGTAAGCGCAGCTCTGGCACTCTCAAGCCCGAGCCCCTCCTGTCACTGAGACACCCACCACCAGCTCCATCGATCAGAGTCCGCTCCGTCCTCCCCCGGTTAGGTTGCTGCGTCCAGTGGTAAGCTCACGTTCCTCTGTTCATTTTTGCCTGATCGCCCTTTCTGGCTAATCGCTAACTTCTCCTTTCAGAAGTCGAACGGGTCCCGGTGCTGTTGCTTCCCCGTCGACACCGTTGCTACCATTTTCTCTCTCTCTCTCAATAAACTGTTAACTGATCCCTGTTGCCGTGTGTGTTCTGCATGTGGGCTAAATATGTTCAGCCGAACATGACAATTATTATGATTATCAATTATTTTTAGCCCAATAAATAGATGATAAATTATCAAACTGAATGAATTACTCCCAAAACACCAAGAATTAAG